CTCTCCACCCTAGTTTTCTTTATTACAGAAGAGTGTGTATTTTTAAAAAAAAAAATAGAAGAGGCAGATGTGGTTCCCCATCACACTTTTGTATCCAAAACCAAGATTAGTATAAAGAAAAGGAGTACTTGTGGCACCTTAGAGACTAACCAATTTATTTGAGCATGAGCTTTCGTGAGCTACAGCTCACTTCATCAGATGTTTACCGTGGAAACTGCAGCAGACTTTATATACACACAGAAATCATGAAACAATACCTCCTCCCACCCCACTGTCCTGCTGGTAATAGCTTATCTAAAGTGATCAACAGGTGGGCCATTTCCAGCACAAATCCAGGTTTTCTCACCCTCCACCCCCCCCACACAAATTCACTCTCCTGCTGGTGCTAGCCCATACTAGTCATTAGTATAGTGACATGAGGTAATCCAGACATTCTACTTCTAGCAATCTTAAATCTAAAGTTCCATGGCTGTGTGGATTTCGCACTTTTCAAGTTTTCTGCACAAATTTTAAGCCACACAGCATCTGATGATTGCTCTTGACACAGAATAGTAAGATGGACCTGATCCTGGCAATTACAGAAACACTGAATCAGGCTACAAGAGTCCAGATTCTGAAGCTAATATACAAAGAAAAATACCTCAAAGCCAGGCCACCAGAGTAGGGAAAGGATCTAGCCATCTGTTACAATTAAGCCACCATAATCTGTGATGCACAGTGACAGACTGGAAGGAATAGGGCCATAGAAAAGGCATCGGGGCTACTGATTTTCAATAAAGTATCTTCAGAGGGGCACATAACCCAAACTCCAAAATGGAGGGGCATTTGCATCATATCTCCCCTCCTATCCCTGGTCACATTCAAAACTGCAACAGATGGGCAAAGTGCATGCTGTAGTTTGATACAACTGACTTAGTTTGCTTGATAATTACAAATCCTTTTACCTATGCAACTGTGACAAAAAGGCTTAAGATTCAGTCAAAGAAGCATCAATCTGCACTAACTGAATGGCACATAAAAAACTGCAGAGATCATTAATGAAAGTGAGTACAGATGCAAATATTCTTATTAAAGCCAGCTTCCTGAGAAAATAGCTAGTCCAGCAAGTCATTGTCTACAAAAGAAATATTTTGTATTTACTAACAGGCAGGTAGTAAATCTTAGTCTAAATGACTTATTTTATCTATTAAGAATAGCTGCCTGATAGTCATTCTACTATTTCAGAAAAAAGTTATGTCTTTTTATTCTTAAGAAAACCAGTTTTCCATTCATAAAACTAACAAAAAACCCTATATCCATTATTATCTAAAACCCTATATGCATTAATATGACATATCCTATATGTCATATTAATGCATCTTCAAATTCTTATTGCAGCCAGGGACCCCTTGAGATGAAAACGTAACCTGCGTTCACTGAAAGAAACTTCTCATACTTGAGTATGGCGCCCTCATTGACAGGCAGGCAAATCAGAGAACAACAACATGATTTACAAATGAACACATTTTCAACTCTTAAGAGACATTTTCCTATAAATGTGCACTTTGTGCATAAATCTCCTCTTTAGTTATCAGTGCAAGGTATCAGCAGTTTTAGTATTTGCCATACATGGACAGACAGTAAGATTATCAGAATGTATTTGGAAGGTTCCCCCTACTGTATTTCTTTTAAAACCCAATTACTTAAAATGCCCTCCAGCTGATACAAAACTAACAAGACGGGATGTTTAATGCATCACCCCTTGGGAAAAAAGAAAAAAAAGCAACACACCCGGATGCTCTCCTTGCACCACATTTTCAACTTATGATACTAACAACGTATCAGGCAGTCAGCTCCACCAACTCTTTTAGAGAGTGGAAATTCACACATAATGAAAGTGGCGGAGATCAGGGGGAAAAAATTTGTTTTTCTTTGAAGTGAAATAAAAATCTGTTACTGTTTCATGTTTTCAGTCTGAAAAAAATAGAAGGAACAAGAAACAAGGCACCACTTGAATCTCAGGGTTGTACTGCCATCCACAAACAGCCTAGAGCCATATCCTTTAATGTCAGCAAAAGCCTGGACATGATGTGGAGCCTTTCCATTTCTGTGATTCCACAACAAAACCACAGAAGTCACTGTGAAAGACACTGCACTTACTTCTGCACTGAAATACATGCAAGATATTGAAAGAGACGGACCACAGCAAATGAACAAGTCCCTTAACCCGCAGTGCAAAATATATAAAACCACACAATTCCATTTAAGATTCTGCATCTAAATGGGAACTAAAGGTAATTACAACTAAGCTATTTCTAGTAGAGAGACTCTTACCTCTTTTATATGCAGATAACTTCTGGTTTCCAAACAAAATAAGAACTGGATATATTTGCACAAGATAGCATGTTAGCAAGAAGCAAAATTCTCTCCCACACAAAATGCTTGGCTCTTTAACATTTTGCTAAATTCATCAAGCCAACTTTAACTATGGGAAAAATAGGCATAACTGGAACAATTAAGTCACTAAGGGTATGTCTACACTACCCACCGGATCGGCGGGCAGCAATCGATCCAGCGGGGATCAATTTATCGCGTCTAGTCTAGATGCGATAAATCGACCCCCGAGCGCTCTCCTGTCGACTCCTGTACTCCAGCTCCGTGAGAGGCGCAGGCAGAGTCGACGGGGGAGTGGCAGCAGTCGACTCACCACAGTGAAGACACCACAGTAAGTCGATCTAAGTACATTAACTTCAGCTATGTTATTCACGTAACTGAAGTTGCGTAACTTAGATCGATCCTCCCCAGTGTAGACCAGGGCTACGTAGTAAGCATGTTGTAAGCATGAAGTAGCTTTTAGATACAAAGCAAACTGTACATCTCAGTCTCTTATTTCTAAGAGTCTGTACTCTGTGGAATATGTCTTAACACAAATCCAGTGAAGCTACTACCAGTGTGCCTTAGGATCACCGCAAATACCTAGACACATGAGAGGTCCCCTCCAAGTTAATGGAACTAGGTCTATGAGTAAAGTTACTCAGTTCATAAGTGTCTGCAATATCAGGTCTTCGGTGCTTAAGGGCACAATCCTCTAGAGGTGCTGAGCACCCTGAACTGCCACTGACTTCAGTGAAAGCTGAACATCCTTGTCACTTTTCAGGGGTGGTAAGTACCTTCCTTAAAGCATCAAGCCTGATATGTTCCATATTTTTTTAAACAAAGTTGCCATGAAGCTCTAAGGACATTTATTATGAAATACTATAAAAAATGTTAAATACTGGTGCTAAAAGAATGCCCTCCTAACAAAGGAAACATAGAATAATCCTTAACGTTGCAGCAGAAAACAAGATTATGAGAACGAAAGGATGATTTAACATTCATTTCCATGTCTGTTCTTTACTGAGAGTGGAACACCTGAGGACAAAAATTCTTAGCAGGAAGTTCAAGAAAGAAAGGAGAGAGAAGACTGGACAAGAAACATTGCTCAGCTAGTTTATGGCAGTGGAATATTCCCATTTAGCAAAATGCCAGATGAGATACTAAGAACATTTAAAGAAATACGATTTGCCTGAAATGGTTCTTGCTGACAGTTTAATTAGTAAGCTTTACTGATTTATCAGAAGTTTCCAAATAAAATTCAATGTCATTTTTTACACAGATGTTTTAAAAAAAATTTCCTCAAGTTTCTATCCAATGTAAAAGTCAGACTTAGCAGTATGCATTTCCCATTTTAGGCCCAATCCAGCACTCTTTGCCAGTGCAAGACAGCTACTTTCAGTTAAACTTACCACAGAAAAAGAGATTGCATCTGCAGTTCTCAGAGGGGCAAGCCTATGGTTTCCTTCATGCAAGTAAAATCCTGCATTCATCAGAGATATGCCAAATTGAATGCTAATAGAAGAATTGCTTTAACCACTGTGGAAAGCGATATAAAATAACTGTACACACGCAAGAGACAAGAGCCCCAGTTCCCACAAAGCGAGTTGTGCCAACGGACCCTTTCGCTCTTTTAGAGCCCCACTGACTTCAACAGCTGAGTCTGCATGGCCATTAGGGTCCGGGGGTGCACATCAGGGTGCAGGATCTGGGCCACAACTTGTATACCTCAGTAATATACACATAAGTTGTGTGCGCATACACACATGCACGCACACATAGCCAGTTGCACGCCAAGTCTCGCGCACACGTTCTTGTGCAAGAGATGCATTTGCTCTCGGACACATCAGCGCCTGTACTTATTTTCGAACATGCAAACGCCCGGCGTGCAGCAAAACACATGAAAAATGCACGTGTTAAGTTCTTTCCTCCTTTTGTCCGAGCTTTGCCCCAGCCGGGACCCGCACGGCTCTGGGGCGCACGCTGCCGGGAGTGGATCCAGCAGACCCACCCCCCCGGTGTGTGTCAGACGCAGGGGCCACGCGACTCTCCCGCACGCACCCAGCCCCTGCCCGGTAATTCCCAGCAAAGGCAGGCAAAGAAGGAACGGGGGCGGGGGCGGTTTCTCCCGGCTGCACGGACCCGGCTCACCGCGGGCGCCGTCCCCCCGCAGGCGGAGCCCCTCGCACCGGGACCCCGCCGCTGCAGGGGCGGGAAACCCGCGCGGGGGGGAAGGGGAGGAAGCGCCTCCCGGAGCCCACCTGCCCCCCGCCCGGCCCCGGCCCGCGCTCACCTCCGCGGCTCCGTCCTCCGCCGCTCCTCCAGCGTGGCGGCGGGCCGGGCCGGGCCGGGGGCGGCTGCCCACGCGGGAGCCGCAGCTCCGCCGGCGGCAGCCGAGAGCCGGGGCGGAGAGCGGGGCGCTCCGCTGGGCAGCCCGCGGGCCGGGAGAAGGGCGAGCCGGCGTCCGAGCGCCGCGCTGCAGCACTGCCCAGCCGCGCCCGCCTCCCCGCTCCCGTTTTAAAGCCGAGAGTGGCCGCGGGCCGTCCCCTTCCCCGCGTGCCATCGCAGCCGCGCGGCGTCACCGGGCCCCGGGCGGGCCAGGGCGGAGTCTGGGTGCCTCGGGCTCCTGGTGTTCCAGGCTCACTCACTTGCCCGCCGCTCTCCCGGGCGCGGCTCCGGCTCCGGCTCCGGCCGGGGATCAAGTGCGCCGGCCGCCGTCTGCTCCCTTCCTGGGGAAGGGCCAACAGAGGCGGGCGGGAACGGGGGTCCGGTTTGCAGGAGCAGCAGCGCCTCGGACCTTTTTCTCCCCCCGGAGACACATTTACCTCCCCCGGGGAGGGGCCCCTGCAGCTGGAGTCGGAGCACGTTAAGTTCATCCAATTGCATGTCAGCCTGGTGACGACAAGAGACGAGAGTCACACACTTTGCTGGCTGAAGTGAAGTGACCAAACCACAGCCTTGCAAAACAGAGGGGAGAGACATGCCTCTCGTCCTGGCATGCGGAAAGGTGGGATCTAAGACACTGCACAACCGCGGGGGCTTTGTTCACACACCCCCCCATGGGAAATTATCCAGAATGGAAAAAGTTTCCTGCTAAATCAAGCGCGTACAGAAAAGAAACAACGAACAAAACGTGGAAGCTGCTGCCCCATGTTCTAAAGCTACTAAACCCTACAAGCCATGCCATTCCCAAGGGACTAAGTGCTACCTCTGGTGAGACCATTCAACAGCGGTCACAATAAAGCGTGCGGGGGGGGGAGGGCGTTGACACCTTTCATATTTTATAACGTTGGACAAAAGTGTGACATCCCCTAACACAGGCAGATCCCCCCCCCCCTTACATAAAATTCTGAATATGAAACCCTGCAGGCTAGTATTGCACAAGAACACGGGGGGAAATGCAAATCTGTCTCCTGCTCCTCCCCTTCACAAATCTGGGGAGGTGTCAACCCTATTGAGAAGGTGGGGTGGTCGTGAGGGTGCATCTTGCTTGGAAAGTTCTGAAGAGTTCTACAGGAGGGACTGTACAGGGTGAACGTGGAAAGGACAGGAAGCTAACACTCCCCCTCGGGCAGCATTTTATTGAGAGTACAGGATACTGGTGCAGAATTAATTTTTTACATCATTTTTTAATTATGGTAATTAAACATCTAGATTAGTGACAGGTTTTTTTAAAAAACTTGGTTTTCAGGAACCCACGCAATGGTTTAGTGAAAGATGACAAGATACAGGGAAGGCAAGTGAAAGGTACGTTACTGAGATAAGCAAAAATCAAAAAGAGGTTCAAGGTCTAGCCTCAAGGGCTGCTGACCCCAGCATGCCATGCATAATTATAGCAGGCGTGTTTCCTTCCTAATACAGTGATGTAGTATTTGAGTGTAAAGAATTGAAAACTGCAATGTTTAGCTTTATTCAATAGCCTCAAGCAGGGCAGGTGTGGAAGGATCTGTATTTTTTCCAAAAGCTCATTTTTTATTTTTAAAGGCCACCTTTCAGCAGCTGTGAATGCTGGCATTATGCTGGGGAAAATAGGTGTATATGACACAATCTAGTTCCCAGATTACTTCACCTGACTAAGGCATTTGGATCAACAAACCCCCCATTCGGATGCCTAACAAGTGTGACCTTTAAAAAAAAAAATCCTATTTTAATCTCAGAATTCTAATCAGAAAATTTTACATTTCCAATTCCACCCACTCCCTCTCTCTTTAAACACAATGGGCTGCTGGCTGCCACATTACACTCCCAGAAAGAAGTAAGACAAAGGCACTCTCTACATAAATTCTTCCTTGCTGGTTGGCTTTTTATACCTGTTCCTTTTACCATCACATGCAAAAATCATTTTCACAGGTACCCTATTTATCAGTTTTCCACCAAAAGGGAAGAACTTTTGCAGGGACATTAATGACTGTATAGGATGACCAAGCAGGAGACCCCTGCCCACCACTGCAACATTCCACAACTCTAACGGTGAAGGTTTTCAGCTGTGATTATAAGAAAGTGATTGTTGTCTGTAGCAGCATGATCAGAGATCTGCCAGTATCAAGAGAGAACTAGACTCAAGGGTTCTCATTTTACAGGCTGTAATGCACTAGAGGATATACAATAGTCCTAACATAGCCACTGTACCACTGAAAATACACAGCCTACCTACCATCTCAACCAAAAGGGGAAGAAAAAAAAAGAACACAATCATTTAGTTTAAAGCAAGAAACACCAATTGGTTAGTCCACAATAATATTCGTCGGAAAAAAGAAATTTCTTAAGTGCTAGTAAAGCAGTCTCTAATTTCCAGCATGGCAATGATAACAACATATAACAAGACATTCAACTGTACCAGGAGCCTTGTGCGGCTTGACTACATTGTGAGGAAAGCCTCATGTAGAATAGGTAGGGCTTCTGATTTTAGGTGAACACCCAATACGACACCCCCAATACAAAAAAATCAAATTGGTGTTTATCCAGTAAATGCTGGAAAAATGCCAGAAATGGTTACTCAGTTAGTGTTGACTTCACCCCTTTCCCTGTGCAATTTGTTTATACAGGAGAGGTCCCTGTTCCTGGACTTATACACTTATACATACTTATACACACAGAGTGGACTACTACAGGGGAGTGATTTCTAAAGTGCACTAATATGTTGCACATTAATTGGTCCACGTAGACCCTGCTGGTGCGCACCAAAGGTTCCGTAGTCCCCTTTAATGGAGTGCTAGAGAACTCTTCCCAGACTGAAACAGGAGCAAGGATAAAAATGATCACCAACCTTCCCAAATTCTCTCTCTCTCTCTCTGAGAAGGGGGTCTTCTGCTGAGATTTACTGTCCAGGCAGAGGTGAAGTGAGGCATGCAACAGCTTCTAAGCTCAAGGACTCTACAGTAGTAAAGACTGTGGCTCATCAGAAGAGTGAGGAAACAGGAAACCAGCAGCAGAAAGAACATCAAAATTGGGATGACCACGAGGCTGAAGCTGCCACGTGGTGCAAAATCCCACTCCATCAGCAAAGCTTGGGATCGTCACATGGCATCTGCCTTCTTCAGACATGTATCTCCTAAAGTGCTCAGGAGCAGCGCTCTCCTCCTGTAGCCCTTATGAACTGTGCATAAGGGGAGACTGAGTGGCCAGCTCTAAAACCAGAGAAGCAGCTGCAGTCAGTAGCAGGAGGGTACACAGGATTTGTGGAGGTTAAGGAGAGGCTGCAGCAGCCTTCATGCAGAATTCCCAGCCCTTCTTGGTGCTGCCTGTCCTCTTTATCATTCCTCCAGTCTCAGATGAGAGAAAACCATCTAAAAAGAGAGAGAGGTTAGTCAAGTATCAGCGGGTAGCCGTGTTAGTCTGTATCCATAAAAACAACAAGGAGTCCGGTGGCACCTTAAAGACTAACAGATTTATTTGAGCATAAGCTTTCGTGGGTAAAAACCTCACTTCTTCAGATGCATAGAGTGAAAGTTACAGATGCAGACAAATATACTGACACATGAAGAGAAGGGAGTTACCTCACAAGTGGAGAACCAGTATTGACAGGGCCAATTCGATCAGGGTGGATGTAGTCCACTCCCAACAATAGATGAGGAGGTGTCAATTCCAGGAGAGGCAAAGCTGCTTCTGTAATGAGCCAGCCACTCCCAGATTAGTCAAGTCACCTAACCCGCTGCAGGAAGGTGCTCAGATCCTACAGTGATGAGGGTGCTATAAAAAATCTAGATCAAATCAAACTTTAACTTTGTGTCCCTCCTTAATAAACTAACTTCTGAAGTTAAGCCCTCCCTAGTTCAGTCCTTAGTCAGTCCATCCAACAGGGCCCCTCATGATACCCTCAGCTGGAGTCTGGCTACCTGGCAAAGGTTCCTGCTCTGGGATGGAGCAGCACCCCATCTTCCCTGGAGACTCTTTGCCTTCACTTTATTCCTCAGTGACCCCAGCTCTCCAGCTGAACCACTCCTCTTGAACTCAGTTCACTGACCCCAGCTCTTCATCTGAGACAATCTCAGTTCAGGCCCCTTCTGGGGGTAATAGTTCCAGATACAGCCCTGCCCTGGGCCTTCCCCAATGGCTATGCGGGGGAGGAGGAACCTGGGTGGCCCACCCACTACTCAGGGTCCAGACCCAGGGACCTCTAAGTAGCAGCCATGTGCCCCATCCCTTTAACTAACTGCCTTTCCCTGGGCCACCTCCCTGTGGCCCCCATCTTACTCAGGAGGTCAGACTAGATGATCATAATGGTCCCTTCTGACCTTAATATCTATGAATCAGTTAATTTCCTTGGGTGTGGTACAGGATAAAAGGATTTTATTTCTTGGTTTCCAGTACACAAATCCCCAGGTGAATTTTTCCCATTGCACCTAGACATTGCAGTCAATATAGTCCTCTGAGAAGGACCTATGTGATGTGTTTCAGCGTCTCAGGAATATTTGTACTGTCTGCTATTGTTTGAGCCTCCAAGAATCAGAAATTTAGCTATCCCTTTAACCTCCTGCCTCCATTACTGAAAGAAAATCTAAACAGAGCAGTATTTCTTAGTAACCTGCTACCAAGATAACAGTCTTTTATGGGCATAATGTGATTAAACCTATTTGCTTTCAAAACTAGATTAGGTCCTGTGTATTCTCCTAGTCCAACGTATTTTGGCTAGCTGTGAACACCATTCAATGTAAAGTGCAGCTAAAGCCCTTTGTAAGCACCCTGTTTCAAGGGCCTAATTCTGAGCATCTGCATACTCACTAAGAAAGCTGATCCCATGCCCAGTGAAGTGAATGGCAAAGTTCCCATTGACTTCAGTGGTACAAGATCAGGCCCTCATAGTGGCTAAAATCCCATGCTGCTCTGCTAAAGTGGAATCACATGCAGGAACTATACAGATTTAGCTATATACTGATGTGCTTTGTAACCAAGAATACAGTGTGCCATTTTGAGAAGAAACTGCTCCCGGAGCACTTTGACAGCCCTATATCCTAGAGTGGTCTCTTCATTCATTACTATGAATGAATTGAGGGGATTACTATGGAGAATACAGGATTTTGATCAGTCACTTTGGCAGCTGGTCTTGTTCCATGTTCCAGAAAACCTACTGTAATTGAACATTAAGGTTGCAAGGTTAAGTACTCAGAAGACAGGAAATGCCAAAGTGAAGTAGGGTGGTCTTCATATTAAATCAACAAGAGCTTATATTTAACAATTGCATTATCCTATAATAACCAGAACCTGCTGTAAACTGCAGCGTGGCACTATTTGAACTGCTGTCTACAGTCCAGGATCCCACTTCTAAAAAGGAGGAGGACCATTGGTGATTGCAGCAATG